AAAGAGACTCGGGGTGCGCGCTGCCTCTCACTTTCGTTCTCCCCATGTCCACGGAAGAAGACAACAGCCGCCACACGCAACTGCCAGCATGCACAACAAAAGAAGCAGCCAAATCCACTGCAATGTGCATCTTGTGTGTGTGTGCGCCTGCAGAAAAACAAGGTAAAACTAAAAATAAAGCAGAGTATGTAGAGAGACGCACAAAAATGTACAGCGGAGGTCCATGGCGGAAGCAACAACAAGAAGACCGCTCAAACTCATGATTGCACTGCAGCCCAAGCAGTGGCAATCCACACAAAATTTATTTAAAACAAAAAAAAGCTTTCCCCTTCGTCTTATATAAACCCCATCACACAAAATAATTATAAATTAAAAAGAAATCGTCCATTACTGTTCCACACAAATTAAAAAAAAAAAACGCCTGGCTGCCGTGTGGCCACACCAAACTGTCTGCATATATTTTGCCCGAAAAAGAAAATTGGAAAGATGGTTGCGTGTGCTTCAACCGTCTGACCCTCCATGTGTGTCTGCACATCGTTTATATTTCATGGGTTCATCTGCGTGTTGCTGCTCCCCTCAGCCCTTTCATCGGCGTGCGAGTGCAGCCCGCAGAGCACAGTCACTCGTGTTTGTGGGGACTGAGAGAAGCACGCAGATATGACGGCAGTCGCGTCTCTCCAGCGCGTGAAATGCACACGCAAAGCAAAAGAAAAACACGGCGGCAGGGTGTGGTTGTGTGTGTGGCGCTGCGGGTGTCTGCCCGCCCTGGCAGCAAAGAAAACAAAACAAGAGGGAAAGAAATGTGTGCTCCGCCCCACAGGCCCTCGTCGCACGCCCACACGTCACGGCTCCCTCAGCGCGCCGTTCGTCGCGGCCCCTCCTCATGCGTGCAGCAGGCGAGGCGCACAGGGCCGTCGTCATGAGCGTGTCGGTGGGTGTGCGAGTGGAGCAGTTGGGCGGGAAACACACGGCACCCCTCACGGGAAGAGTGCAGCAAAAAAAATTAAAAGAGGGAAGAGTAGAAAAGAAAAACCTCCATAGTAATTGCCCCAAAAGCAAAAAAAAAAAAAAAAAAAAAGGGAAGAGAGAAGCAATAAAACGTGAAAAAAGTAATAAAAAATTTAAAAAATTATAAATTGCAAACAAACAGTAAAAAAAAAAAAAAAAGTTTTTATGAGGGAAATTCATTATGACGTGTATTTCTGTGCAGGGGAGGCCGCAAGTGTCCCACGCGGCAGCCAGTCACTCCTCACAGAGCCGCAAACCCCCACAGTCCCAACAGAAGGAGCAGCAGCAGCGGTCCTCTCTCACACACAGTGCCGGCATCGCTGTTATTCCCCTGCGACAAATTTCCGGGACTGCTGCTGAGTGCCGTGGCATTTGCTTCCCTATCCTGTGGATGGATCCCCTCCTCCTCCCGCCCATCCTTTCCTCTCGCCGTCTTTCCATTCTCACCAGAGCTCACGCTCACCTCAGGATTCACCGTGGGTCCATCTCCCTGCACCGTATCTCCAACTTCTGTTCCCGCTCTTTGTTCACCATCTGATAAGAGGTCGCCATTTACTTTTTGAGTTCCATCGGAAGGCTTTCCTGACAAAAAGTGGTTTGCAGACCCCTCTTCTCCTGAGGAAGTCGTGGCAGTGTATTCTGTTGATGTGGATAAACCGCCCGCACCACTTCTCCCCAACGACTGTCCCTTTTCCTCCTGTCCTTCACCAGGAGAAGACTGAACCGCTGTTAACTGAGTAGGCGTGTTCACCGGAGGTGGAATAGAGGCTTTTCTCGGGTTGAAGGCGCCTATCTCAGGGTCATTCAACGGACGGTTGTACAGCAGGACGTTCGTCACCGTCACAGACACGCCGTCTCGGCTGTCTGCATTTCCTGCGTTGCTTCCATCCCCTCCAATGTAGAAGTGGGAGATCTCTTTCGAATCATTATTTTTTAATTCACATGGCGCGTCTCCCACACGCTGACCATCGACGTACGCGGAGCCATGGGTGCCGTTCTGTAGCATAAGCACCAGCTGGTGTGTAGTGCCCGGCTCCCAATCGCGGCTGTGCTCCGTCTTCGGCTTTCCATCGCACAGCAATTCCCACTTCTTTTCTTTGTTGTACGAGAACTCCATAAGTTTGTTTTCACCGTCCAGACGCACACCCATCAATGGAATAGGACCCTCCTTCGGCACACCGTCGATTGACACCGTTGCCACAAGAGTGAAGTTGTAGTTCGCAAAGTGGTACAGCTGATTCTGCCCCTGCGCGCCAACGGGCCACTCCGCCCACGCTCCCTGGAACTTCACGCCCTTATCCAAAGTCCCTGTGGCCGCTGCTGCACCACCCTTTACCGTGGCGTTCACCCCGAGGTACTCGTCCCTCCATGTGTCGTCAGAGAAGTTGTCGGACAAAAAGCCAACCAGCCCATCCGTGATCTTAACAGTGCTGCAGGCATCGTCAGTTGAGGTACCCTCCAAAGCACTTAAAGAGGTGCACAGCTGGGAGACACGTTCGTCCACTTCCTTCCAGGTCGTCAGCACCTCCTTCACCCGCTCCAGCTGCGCAGTCAGAAGCACAGAGACCATACCATATGATTGCTCTCCGTTGCTCTTCTTCTTCTCGTACAGTGCAATCAACTTCTCATTATTATTATTATCTTTACCACTTTTGTACAACAGGGAGCTGGCGGCAACGTCTTCGTCATCACCGGATACCGACCCAATATCAACAATGTGCGTATTGTCTGTCAGCCAAAGATGGAGTTTACGCCTTGCATTGACTTCGTTCTCAGTCTTCAAATACGCCGGCAGGGTAATGAGCATCACATTTCTCTTATCATTAACACCGTCAATCGTCGCTGTGATGAATCCGCCTCCAACGCCCCTCACATTTCCCTTGTGGTTGTTGCCCCACACGCGCGAGAGTGTCCCGAGTGCCTCCGTCCACGAATCCCCCATGTCACCGACCTCGTACACCCTGCGGCGGCCGTCATCACACACAGTCATTATCATGAGTTTTTTGTCCCTCCCCCACTCCACGACGGAGGGATCACTACAGCCATCGTCAGACATTCCCTTCGACAGCTTCCAATTGTTATTATTCAAGGAGTATATGATCAGCAAAACGGTCTTTTCGGCCTTTTCTACGCCCTCCGCCTTCTTCACGGCTTCCACAGGAAACACAAGCGTATGGTCTTTCATCTCAACACCTGATCCACCGCCGCCAATCAACCGTGTTAAGGATTTGTGTTGTTCGCCAAAAGATGGCCGCGAGACGTCGTTAATATTTTTCCAATGGATTGTTTTAACGCCTTTCTCATTACCATTGACCTCCCCTTTCACCAGCAAAAATCCACAGTCAACTGCATCTCTCTCCTCGAGACCACCGGCAGCTGTCTGGCTGTATTTTCCGGCAAGCATGTAAATATCATTTCCCTCCACAACAGTTGTTGGTCGGCTCACATCTACTTTCTTCTTTTCTGCGGAACCGACTTTCTCCAAAACCTGTGTATCCTTTTTGTCATCCTTCAGCACTTCCTCCGGCTTGTTAGCAGTTGTTGTCGTGAGTAGTTGGGATGCAACGCCAGTAAAAACGTCGACTTCACCGTTCTTCTTCGCGCACTGCGCCTCGGCAACGGCAAACACGTCACTCCCCACTTTTAAAAGGCCGGGAACACCCAACGAAACCACTTGTTCCCTATCATCAGTGATGCCCGTCCATTTAAACTGGGAATCAGAAAGCCGCCCCTCAGCTTCCGCAGCCCCACTGCCGCAGCACATCAACACGACGACGAGGAGCAGCCCCGCGGAGCGAAAGAAATGCCGGGACATGCTGGGCCTCTGGTGCTCACCCTCTCTTCCTTCCCTCCTCTTTCCGCTGGATCCAGTCACGCGGCGACGGTTGTGTGCGTTGGGTGCCATGACAGCAGCAACACGTGAGAGCATATAAATATGTGTCTGTGTGTGTGCGGTGTGTGTGCTGTTGGTCCTTAGAATTTCACAGTAGCGTTTAGCGTTTGTTTTCCTTCTTCGTGTGATAGTGGAAAAAAAGTGACAAAAAATATGGATAGAAAGGTGAAACAGTGAGCACCGCCACCCATCCACAGTGAGTGGCACCATCATCATCCGCACCGCAGTCACTCCCAACAAAAACAACTCGCACACAGACACACGGAACAGGAGAAGGAAGAACAGTGCACCGGGAACACACAGCAACTGTCACCACCAGCAGGATCCACGGCGGATGCGTAGTTATTTGTCACCCGTCAACACGCACCGATCAACGCCCACACACAAAACAATCAGCAAGATCCAAAAGGGTCAAACCGCCCTTCACGGCACCTACGCGCTGACGCCAGTCGTATTGCTGTTGTCTCCTCCAACGCACCCGCACACCACCCCACACAGCCTGAGAATCCATTAGTCGCAGAATCCACGGCGGGAGTGGCGTGGCATGTGTGTGCGTGTATGTGCCTTTGTGTTTGGCAGCGCCTATAATTGCAGAGCAGCTGTGCGCCACAAGAGAGTCAGAAGAAAGCAACGGCAGAGAGAGGCAGATAGAACACACACACAAATTACTCATATCATCACACACAAACACACACACGCAGCCCGCGGAATGGGTGCTCTCAACCACAAAACAATGAAAAACAAAACAAAAAGCCGAAGCGTGGGACGACCAGCGCACACACTCTCATTGCTCCCGTAAAGCAAAACACACACACAGGGAGAGAGAGAGAGAGGTTGCCCACTCAATGCAATAAAAACAAAACAGAAACAGTTACGGTGCTCCGCCCATGCAGTCAGGCAGGACGGCAGCGGTGCGTGTCGTGCAAAAGAGAGCACCAACGGGCCTGCATGGGTGTGCATTCATATATACAATGGGCACATTATGTGTGTGCTTCGTGGGATGAGGTGAGGGCGAGAGTCCATGCAAGGGGACACACACAGAGAGTGGGTGAAAGACGAGTGTGTGTGCGGGCGGTGCATGGCTCTCCCTCCCTCACTCTCACGCGGCCACCACCGCAGCCGCAGCCGCAGAAACAAAAAGAAGCAAAAGAGGGGAGGTGGAGTGGATGGCAGCGGTGCTGCCGTCACTTTCGTCTGTATTTGCGGTGGAATTTGCACCAACGCCATTTTTTTCTTTTGCGGATTCTTCGTCATTTTCATTTTGTTTTTCTTCTGCTGTCACTGCACCATCAGCTGCTAAATCATTGTTCTGGTTGCTGTCTTCAGTGCTCTTGTCAGAAACAATATTAGCGGCATCTCTTTTTGCCGTGGGTGATGGTGGCCTTGTTTCCGTATGGATGGCAGATGGCTCATTGTGTTGATTGGCTGTAGTGGGGGCAACGCTCGTTGTTTGTGAATTGTTGTTTTGGTTCATTCCACTTTGGGGTTGTTGTAGCTGTTGCATGGGCACGTTATCTTCAGTACCGGACTGTCCATTCACTTGTGTTGGGGATGTTGATGTTTGCATTTCTTTCTGTTCCACTGGATTTTCACGTATCACTGCGGGTGCCTTATCATTTATTTTTTTGTATTTGTCTTCTTCTGTTCCTTCTTGTTCTGATTCACTTGTTTCTTCCACCACCTCTTCATGACTGTGAGACTTACTGCGAAGGTCCTTTCCTTGTTCTTTCAGCTGGATACCGGAGTATTTACTACTCTTGGAATTTTCCGAAAGGGGTTCTTCACCAACCGGAGGACCAGAACCGCCAGATGAAGAAGAAGATTGATCAGGTTTCAGTTTTTTGGAATCAGCTGCAGTTCCTTTCTTATTATCTTCTTCTTTTCCTTTTGTATTCACCACTGTCGACTTACCCTCCTGTCTTCCTGTACCTGGTCCTTCGGGCTTCGGCGGTATTGCTGCTGCTTGAATTGCGACAACATCTCTTCCTAAACCAGTCGCTCCGCCGTCTTCCGTATTATCAGGCGATAATTCCTCCGACCTATCCCGTGGTCCTGGATCACTTAATTCTTGTTCTTCATCCGCAGCCTCAACCGCCTTTATTAATCCCATTGGAGCGGATAACAACCCACAGTCCACCTTTAGAGACACACCGTCACTTCCACCATTACTTGTGTGCCTCAAACCGTTCTCTCCACCCTCACTGCAGTAGTCATTCAACGCCATTCCAGATAAACCGCACCACAGCACGCAGAGGGCACCCACCAGCAGCACACGGCCAGTCATCATCATCACTCCTCTCACTTGCGTGCAGCCTTCAGCACAAACTAACTCCCCGTCAACGCAGAGCAAAAGCAAAAGTAAGAAAAACAACTCACACAACCACGCACCGTCCCATCCAGCAATAAGAGTCATGTAAAAACAAAAAAACGAAAACAATCGGGTGGGTGCGGTCCAACAACAACAATCAAAACAAAACGAAAGAGGTGCGCTCCTCGCCCGTGCACCGCTCTTCACACTCCCACAGTCACTATTACTGTTGTTCCCTCTCCTCAGTCACTCACAGGCACGCCACGCTCACTTCAACACGCGCCCCTCCAGCACAGGCAGTCCGTCATGCGCTCCCGCTGCGCCACAGCGTCAGCCACCTCCTCCCTCAGTCCAGCAGCTCCGTGCCCTCCACGTCCCTCACAATCGCCGGCATGCCACTGCCACGCAACACCCACGGCGCCACAATGTCGTGCCGCCTCTCCTCCCAATCATGAGCACAACGCCCAACGCGTACTGGCGCACGTGCTCCATGCGCTGCAACCACATGCCGATCAGGTAGGCTGTCATGAACTGCATCTCGTTGTCCTTTTTGTAATTGTGGCGGCACCACAAAATCTTGTAGCCGGCGGCGTCGCAGTGCTGCAAGAGGCTGCCAAGAGGAGCCACTTCTGTGGAAGACCCCAATTTACGGAGCGTAGTTGGCAGCCACTCACGCTCAGTTCCTCACACATCTCCCCGCTTTCTCCACTTGCCCACGCACAATGGTGGTGTCGTGAAGAAGAGACGCCTGTCGCACAGCGCATGCAAAAAAACACAAGCAAAAGCAACGCCACCCACTTCGCGCCGCAAGATAGAGCCATGCGCACAGCAAACACACAGCCGTAACAAAAGGGACGGGGTGCATCCAAGTACATACCGCGGTCCTTCACTTCCCTCCGCCCTGGCGGAATGGCAGTGCGCCTCACAGCAGGTCGTGGCGGGTGGTATCCCACACTCACAGTGAGGCACGGCGCACACCATCCGCTCCCCTTCGAGTGCGCTCAGCAGACCGGCGCCCAGTCACCCTCGTGCCATCGCAGAGAGGAACACAAACAATCTTCGTCGCGGACTATCGGTGCTTCTAGCGGGGAGTAAGAAATGAGGGCATTTCAACAGCACAGCCAGAAAACGAACACTCAACGGGACACGCTAACAAAAAGTGACAGCGGACATGGCAAATGATACAACGAGCCGCAGGAATTTGAAAAAAAAAAACCAAAAGAAAAAAGGGTGAGAGTCCAGAAGAACTTCACAAACGTAAAAAAACAAAATTATTAAAATTTGATTCGGTAGTACTTTTATTTCATGCGCCGAGAAGCACAAGACAACCGTGTGTATATACATATTGCCCGCACCAAAAAGGAAAAAAAAAAAATTAAATTAAAAAAAAAAAGATGATCGTACCTTCCCGTGAGCCCACACAACATTCTTCACATCTCATGCGGCATCCGGCCTGTTCCTCCAATCCTCCTTTCGTGCAGTCCATGGGACGCACAGCCGCAGGGCCGACACCGCGTGTGGGCAAAAAAGCAAAAAAGAGGGGGAAACACGTCGCTCATTACAGTGTGCAGCAACCGAACATTACGCAAAGAAAAAACACACAGTACCTACTACTCCGGCTGAACTACAGTGAAAAAAGACACTTAAAAGTAAAAACATTGAAGAAATGAAAGATAATTCAAAATGCGCGCGCGATGCGGCATGTATTCTCCGTGAGGATTCGCAAATCCACACTCTGTGGCTCACAGACTGCCACGACCCAAATAATGATCCCAGAAGCAGCGGCACACAATACACGCACACACGCACGGTATTGTTACCGCCTAAATCACGCAGTGTCAATTTCACTTCGTTGAGAGAGGCAAGGCGCTCGTCGGGACTCACACCGCTCCAGACACTGCGAGGTGACTGTTTGTGGTGGGGATTCGTGTCCAGGGGCGTTGTGCCCGTCCATTTCTCTTCTATAATATCCCCAGCAACGTGCTCTCTGACGCTGTCGACTACTCGAATCTTCTCGGGTGGTGTCGGAGCCGCTTCCCTCGTCGGAGCGGGACCCTGTCCTTGAGTGCACGCATCGCAGTGAAGTTCAGTAGGCGGCTGTACAGAAAGACGTTCGTCACCGTCACATGAGATTAGTGCCCACCGCACGCGCCAAAGCAAAACCTCAGGACCTCAGGTGGCCTCTCGCCTATTATCAGCACCTCTTCTTCTCCCAGCGACTCGCCATCAACGTCCACAGAGGCCTTTTTGCCTTGCAGCATGAGTGCCACTTGGTATTCTTTCCTCGGCTCCCAAGTGCTGCTCCGTGTTGTTGTCTTGCCTTCGAACGTCGTCTCCCACTTCTTCTTGTGGCTGTACGACAGTCCCATGGTATGACTGGACTCAGTGTCCGCCAGCATCGCAGTCAGTAGAGGAGTGCTCCCGCTCGGAGCCTCTTCGATGGTCACCGACGCTACAAGTGTGAAGTAGTGGCTCAAAGATACATGACGCACATTATCACCCCGAGTGTTCACAGGCCATATTGCCCTGGACTCAAGTCACGTCAGTTGAAACCCATCGTTGTCCTTCGCTGCATTCGTCACCGTTGCATTCAGGCAAGGGTACTCGTCGTTCCACCTTTCATCACTGGCCGCATCGGACAAAACTGCCACCAGACCCGCCGTGGGTATAGACAAGCTGGAAAAAAAAATGCCCTTTTGCGTCCAAGTACTGAGGACGGACTTGATTGTACTCAGTTCCTCCGTCAGACGGGAAAGTGAGATGACACGGACCTCACCGTTGCCCCTCCGTTGTAAAAGATGCTAACTGCCATCCGAGTACAGCAGGGTGCTGGCGAGCATCCGATTCGCAGCATTGTCCATGGCAACCGGTCCAACAGAAAACGTGCGGTTGTTTTCCGTGACCCAAAGGCAGAGCGCAGTGGCCCTCTTCTTCCCCGAGGCATACCCTCTCTGAGTGCACAGCATGACCTTCCTTTCCTCAATGGTCGCGGTGATGAGAGCATCCACACGCAGGCTTTCTTTCTGAGAGACTCCTGATCGTGCGTTGGCTCACACGGCTGAAAGTGTCCCGATGGCCTCCGTCCACGCTGTCCTCATGCCACGCGACTCGTACACCCTCTGGCCGTTCTCGCAGCCAACAACCATGAGAAGTGATCCCTCCCATTCGGTGACGCGGGGGTTAAGGCATTCCGCACTGGAAATGTCCTCAGAGAGCGCCCAGGCACTGCCGTTGTCCGTCGAGCAAATGATCATGGAGCAAACGTCTTCCGATTCATCCACCGCCATGTGAGGAAACACAAGCGTGCCATCCTCCATCACAACACCTGAGCCACCAGAAGCAATAAACTCCGTCCAGTCACCTTCGTGAGAAGCAGAAGAGATCAGTTTCGAGAGTGGTTTGGGGTCGCCCCATTCGATCCGTCCACTCTGCTTGCCACCCGTGGGATTCGTGACATCACCCACAACCAGTTTCGGCTCCAAGCCGCCCTCTCTCCAGCACCCACCTTCGTATGGCATATCAGAGCTTCCCGCAAGAGGAAACACTCCGTTGCCCTTCGTGATTGTTGTGGGGCGGAGCACAACACCCAAACTCTCCTCTCCCTCCGCTGCACCAAGCACAGTGTGTGCTCTCCATGTATCCTTTTATTGACCTCACCAACAAGAGTGGACCAAACCCACGCAGAGTCGAAGTATCCCGCAACCACATAAGAAGAAAAGGGCTTACTTAATTGACCACCTTGATATTCGGCATCCATGTGACCCTCGGCGAAAGCAGCAATTACTCCACCAGCACTGACGAGAGAGGCTGAAACAAATGAATCCCTCGTCGTAACTGGAACAACCCCATCCTTCGGCTGCACCAGCGTCGTCTGCAGCACAAATAGATCGACCCCCGTCGGTTCCTGAACACGTCGTAAATCAATCACGCCATTATTCTCCTTTGCAAGCGTTGCAGCTCCACTGCCGCAGCACATCAACACGACGACGAGGAGCAGCCCCGCGGAGCGAAAGAAATGCCGGGACATGCTGGGCCTCTGCGGCTCACTCTCTCTTCCTTCCCTCCTCCTTCCGCTGGATCCGGTCACGCGGCGACGGTTGTGTGTGCGGGGTGCCTTCACAGCAGCAACACGTGAGAGCATATAAATATGTGTGTGTGGGCGGTGTGTGTGTGCTGTTGGTCCTTTCAGAGCCTTCGAATTTCACAGTATCGATTCGCATTTGTTTTCCTTCTTCGTGTGTGTTTGCGCGCAAGAAATCAAATTAAACTTTAAAAAGCACCAAAACAGAGCGTGGCAGGGGAGTGGGTGGCGCCGCCATCCACAGTGTAACACACCAGCGTCGTCGTAACCGCTACAGTAATTAATCTCCCCGTCCACAACGGCTCAAGCACTGTGAGGCCGCACACAGAAGCAGAGACACTGACGTTTGCGCACGGGCCAATACACTCTCCGGCAAACAGCACCAACCAACAGACAGACAGCAGAAAGTAAGTGCAAGAAAAATACTAAGTGCTGCGGGGTCCTTGCTAGCAGCGCTCCCTCATTGCAGCACCTTTAAAGCGTTCCTCGCTGCAACATCCCCCACCACCCCCTCGGCGTGTCGGTGGATTTTCCCGTTCACCGGAACAAAAACAGCGGGATGCTCCGGCAGGGCTCGAAGACACACAGAGTGCGCCGTCGACGCGATCAACGAGCGCAGACCCTCGTGAAGTGAGATCCCACAACCGCGATCCCTCCATTTACTCTCCTGGACGTGGAGGAGGCATGAAATGTCTTCTTCTCTACAGTAGTCCCAAAACGCAAAAAATCCGTAGGACATCCCGCGCAGCCACGGCCTCCTCAGAAGCCTGACAGTCCACGCCGTCGCACCGCTCCTCAAGAGGTCGCCAGGCCTGGTAAAGCAAGCAAAAGGAGAACAGCAATTTGGTCAGAGCGTTCAGCAAAATGAGGTGCAGCAGTCGGGTAAGCGCGGCCCATCCAC